AATTATTTGCGAGAAAGCTAAAAAGATACATGCTGATCTCATGAAAAATCAAGCAAGAACTAGCCAGGAAAGCGAGGTGTTTAAAAGCCAGCCATTTTTTTACTTGAGAACGGATTAATCATTTTTACATTACTTCTTATGGGAAAGGTTGGTTTGGTATACGTCCTATTCGGTATAAGTCCAAACACCAGGAACGGATTAAGGTCGTATACCGAGGTTCCACTGTATATTAAAATTCTTTATTGGTAATTTAAGCTTTATACGGCACATAATCATCAAGTCCCAATCATCAATGGATAAACCTTACAGAAATCTCTCGACGAGGTCGAGTAAATCATAAATTTCCTCATAAACACGCGGCAAACTTGCGAAACGCCAACAGAAACCAACAGACGGCGACGACCATCTCCTCGCCTCGCACTTTTACCGAGATACCCACCGTCCACCGAAGGCGGCACATAGCGATCGTCGGAACGATCGCCATACGCATTATTCCCGGCTCCACAATTTATACAGTACAGTACGGTATTACATATAGTATGTACTGTACATAATTGGACAATATTATATAGTATGTACTGTACATAATTAAAAAAGAATTATTGCTTCAGCTTTGCTTTCCTTTCCCATCGACTACCAAAAATGGATCAAATGGAAGAGAATTTGGAAGTGTTTTGTAAACAACAAATTACTTTTAGACCGAATGAGTGTAATCGATTTCATTTTTTCTGGTTAATTGTGTATTTAAATGATAATAATCAGGTGTTGATAGTCTTATTGGAAATTCTGTTACTCTCCTGCATCATTATTGATCTTTATATTGTGTTTGTCAAACACGTTTATGATGGAAAGAATAAAATACAAAGAATATTTCTTACCTCCGTATTCCTCCATACGCCTCCTTTTATCATAATCCGAGGCATGATTAATCTTAATAAAAAATATGAAACTACTCCAAACAAACGATTCCACAACTTCTTTCCTTTGCTCACTTTCTCACGTCGCCGAAAACGTTTCCGCCCAAATGTCGCCAAATTTATACAAAATTTTAAATAAACTAATTTAGTAAGAGTTATTATATATAATAGGTATATAATAACTCTTACTAAATTAGTTTATTTAAAATTTTGTATAAATTTGTAACAGGCTATTGCCTATTACGTTAATAAACATTCTATTCTATTCTATATATAATAGATAAGGAGCAGTGCTGTGCGATGTCTATAATTTTAACATCGATGTCAAACATCGATGTTTGCCTAAGCATCGATGCTAAATTTCGATGTTGGATTTCACATCGATGTTTGATCGATGCCCATCGGAACATCGATGTTCAATCAAGATAAACTCAAACAATTTAAAAAAAAAAACAAAACCGGGTTTGTTCGAACAGAAGTTCCTGACGCATGCGCAATGTCATTTTACAATGCAAAGAATAATGTGCATGCCGGTTCTAAATCAGTTACAGTTAGGGACTAGGGACTTGCGTAGGAGTAACGTAAGTAACCTAAATTAAGAAAAAACAGGTACAGATAACTTAGCTCTATTTGATACGTGTACGATCTTACATGCAAAAAAAAGTCGACAGGGTTTTTATTTTACTATTTCCGCCCTGTGGGCACTAAGAGGGCCTTTTATAATAGGGCCATTATGGGTTCGGCCAGGCCCACAATAGGGTGACTGGATGGTGAGGGACGGGGCCCGACATATCCGAACGGACCACCCCCCGAAAAATTCCTGGGAATTCCTTGACCCGTCCGGATTCGATCCCGGGTCCCCCAGAGCGGTAGGCAGGACCGTTCGGCCATCCGGCCTCAAAGTCGACAGGTTGCGCGCCACAAGTCGGCGTAAACAGACTAACATGGCAGAGTTGCGGATGAGTTTCAATGAGTGTGAGTTCATTCACTGTTAAAATAGTGTAAATTTGTAAACATATTTGCGAGAACTTTGTTTCATCGCAATTTCACAATTTCTACGAAATTCCCGGACTGTCCGGGTGAAAACCGAACAGGTGGTAACACTAGGAACAAAGAATGAAGTGCATGCATCGATGAATCAAAATTCACATATTGCTAACATCGATTCAGGATCGATGTTTCAAAAACATCGGAAGGTCGATGCATCGACAAACAAAAACATCGATGTGTCGATGTCACATCGATGCATCGCACAGCACTAAAAGGAGTTTCGGTTTCGTTTTCAGTTACCGGTGGACGCCATTTTTGACTGTCGTACTTTAATCATCAATAGAAAGTGCTCAAAGGGTTTTTCCCTTCACGAGAAGGACGAGGTTTTTCGCTACAGTTATTTCTGAGACTAGAGGAACCTGTGGGGAAGATTCCCTGGACCCTTGGGGTTTTTCAGGTAGGAGTGTTTTAGTACTCCGTCGTGGAGGTTATTCCGAGTGAAGGAAGGGCTTCTCCCCAGCGAGGATGCCCTCAGCCACGGCCGCCAGACTCGGCGGATCGCGGTGATCTTACTGAACTTCGCTTCTTCGCCCCTTTAACGGAAGTGGAAAAATTACATTCCATTAGCCGGTCGCTTCCCCCGGAGCAAGTTTACACGGTATTTCTGGAGGGTCAGAGTCCCCTTCGCTGTCTTCGCCCGGTGGATCTTCATGCAACACTTAAACAACATTTCACACACCCGGAAAGCATACAAGACGTCCGGTATTCGCGGGCAGGCGCTCTTATACTTAAATCTTGCGACCCACAAACAGCGGAGGAGACCCTACACATCGCAGACTTGGCTGGAACACAAGTTAGGGGCCGATTGGCACCCGATTGTGCGCTTACTGCGTATCTCGTGCGAGGTGTCGATACGTCAATAGCTGTAACAGAGATATACGACATACTTTCGGACAAAAACATTCCAGTCATAGAAATACGCCGCTTCACGCGGAGAGAGGGGGACTCAGTAGTTCCAAGTCCCACAGTTTACTTGTTAGTGGCAAGTGCTACAAAAATGGAGACAATTACTTTATACTATCAGCGCTACAAATGTGAAAGGTACATTCCTCGTCCACGTTTCTGTGAACGGTGCCTTTCTTTCGACCACTCAGCCGCTTCGTGCAGAGGCCGACGTAGATGCATCAGATGCGGAGCGGATCATGAACCCAATGATTGCAATGCTGAGCGGAAGGACTGTGTCCGCTGCGGAGGAGCACACAAGGCGAACTAAAGAAGAAGAAGAAGAGTTATTATATTAATTAATATCCGGTATATAAATACTTTAATTTTAAGTAAATTAGAAAACTAATCTAAATACAGTCGATCCCCCTATAACACGATAGATACGTTCCGTTCTTTATGAATCGATTTTGTACGAGTCCTTGCCAATCACAGCCCGACACGTGTCAAGTTTACGAACTACGGCTGTTTGAAAGGTTTTCTTCCATAAAATTAATCGATTCCTAGACTAATTCGACTCAACATTTCCAAAACACGTATATTTTTTTGGGAATAATCCGTATAAACTATGCTGTAAACAAAAAATTGTAGGATTACTTACCGAGTGTGCACCGTTCGACGTCGCTATTGCTCAAGCTTGTTTTCGTCACGGAGCAGCGCACCAAACGGCGGGCGATTTCTGATAAGTTATTTTTCTGCGAAAACTTCGTTGAACTTTGGAGACATCATTAATATAAATAATTTTTATGGCCGTTGAATAAGAAATGTTTCTTTCACAAGAAATGTATAAAATTACAGTACTATGTTAGACTTACGGTAGCTAATTTACATACTGTACAGACGATAGTTAGCGTAAAATCTCCGTAGCATGGCACCACGCGGCGGAAAAAATATATATAATTATAATAAAGTTAAAATAAATTAAGTTAATATTGTACAGACAATAATAATACTGTACAGACNTATTAGACTTACGGTAGCTAATTTACATACTGTACAGACGATAGTTAGCGTAAAATCTCCGTAGCATGGCACCACGCGGCGGAAAAAATATATATAATTATAATAAAGTTAAAATAAATTAAGTTAATATTGTACAGACAATAATAATACTGTACAGACGATAGTAAACTCATCTTACCCATCTAAACTCTCCGTAGCGTGTAAGTAGTTCGGCTGCTCGTCTAGTATTGGTCCAGATTCGACCAATCCTGCCGTGACACGAGTCGGTGATGACGTTTTACGGGTCCCTTTTAGCGTCTTTATACGAATACAGTCGCAATTTTTTCGTCGCGTTATAGGAATCCGCATTATAGGAACCCGCATTATAGGGAGTCTACTGAATACAGGCTGTATTTCAACCGATGTTCTACTAGCAAAAAATTTCACTACAAAATAACGGATATTGGTCACTACAATGCACTAAAACGTTGAACATTTCCACGTTGAACTTTAACCAAAAACACACATTGCAATCGATATATGTCCAAAGCAGAATTATAATTACTTCATGACTGTACTGTACATAAATTTTTATATATAATAAAAATTATAAAATTTTATATTAGGCTATCAATATGGAATCTTTAAACGGTTAGACCGGATGGCCGAGCGGTCAAGGTGGCAGCCTACCGCTCTGGGGGATCCTGGATCGTATCCGGTCGGGTCAAGGAAACCCCAGGAATTTTTCGGGGGGTGGTCCGTTCGGATATGTCGGGCCCCATCCCTCACCACCCGGTCGCACCATTATGGGTCTGGCCGAACTCATAATGGGCCTGCTATAAGAGGCCCTTTTAGTGCCTACCGGGCGGAAAAAGTATTAAAAAAAAAAGATTCCATATTTATCAAAGTTGAGCATTTTTACATTAATTTATAATTGTGTGTAGGCACATAAAAAGAAAGTTTAAAAAACGTTTGTTCGATAAAAAATCTTTTACGTTGTGTAGACTGTAGATTAATGTACCATGAATATAGTTGCTTATATATATTAGGGAGATAGTGACTATTGTTATCTACGCCCACAAAATTAAGCTTTTTGCTGTTTTATGTTAATATAAAAGTTTTTGAAAATGAAATCTCGCNTACATAAAGTGAAGGGCAGTCAAGCACTTCCTACTGCTGTAGACACTTTAGTTCAAATTTCCAACTGTAGGTTCCTTCTATCAAAACGTTCAAAATTTTATCCTCTACAATCCCCAAAGTTTTAAAATGTCATTCTGATACACCCTGTATAATTTTAAAATGAAGAGGAAATATCAATACTTATCTTCTCAAGCTCCTTAAAAAATTTTAAACTTTTCTATAATTTTTTATTAAAATATAATAAAAATAAATAAAACTTACAATAAATATTCGTAATGTTCCAAGCACTGAGCTGCAGTTCTACCAATAATTGGTGCAATAGTCCTCCATTGGGTAGGCATTAATTTAGCCAAATGCAGTAATTTTTCTTCTTCTTCCCTTGTCCATTCAGTTTTTTTAATGCTCGGATCCAACCATTCGTACCTAGTAACAAGTTTAAAAAATGTATTATTGTATAATTTAATGACATGTATATTATAAATTTAACCAGCAATATGTAATAGAAAATTGAATACATTATTCAAATGTACAGCAATTTTATTTATAGAAAAATCAGCAGCATCACTCCAGTTTTAATGTCTTGTAAAGCATTACTCATAAAATAGCATTACTCATAAAATATTTTCAAATTATATTATTTTATCTGAATTAGATGCACTACAATCTAGCTGCAATCACTCCAATCAATTATTAAACTTTATCATGTTGTCCTATGACATAAACATCCTCTTTTCAAGTTTATCCTTATTTTCCAATGATTAATTTTACATAAAATCATAATTCTGTTGTATTAATATTGTGATATTGGAATATTCCAATGAGCAGTTTTGAATATTATAAATAAAACAATAAATGATCAGTCTAGCATGGAAGAAATACACAGTTAACAGAAAACCCAATTAATTTTTAATGCTTTTGATATTATTTTATTTTTAAACCAACGAAAGCTAATTTTATATTCTAAATTCTTCATAAGAATTTCAAATATTAAACAAGAAGAGTTTATAAATACTGATTTGCAGTACTCGTTATTTATGAAGTTCTTAGATATTCCTTCATAAACCTCTAAAACTTTTACTAAGGAGATATTAATCAAGGAAAACAGAGTTGCTTCCATCAACAGAAATCCTGACACTTAAAAGTCATCATATGCCAACTTTTAAATGTAAAGATTCCAAATATATTTAATAAAATATTTAGTACAGCTTCTAAATTAATAAATTGATCATTAACTCACTTATAAATTGTTTTAAATTTGGCAATTCTTATTTGTTCCTTAATAATTTGCTCCTAGAGACAACAATATACATATACAAACAACAAAAACTAACTTTACAACATACAACAGTTCTATTTTATTTATTTAAGCTTATAATATCCAAAAGTTTATCTGTAACATTTGTTAATGCTGCTGCTTAATCTCTGTCATGTAATTGTTTGCACTATAACATAAATTTAAAGACAGATATAATTACAATTATTAATTTAATTAATTTAAATTTCTTAATTACCATCTCGCTTTGCACTGTATGGCAGATTTTCGATGCAAGAGAGAGGCTATACGAGACCACTGATTTTTTCCATATTTCATAACGGCAGCCTTCAAGATTTCATCCTGTAAATATAAACAGTGATTATTTCAATTCATTATCAATAAATAATCACAAATATTTTTCATATTATATACAGTGGGTGATCGGTTAATGAACACAATCCATTCCAAACCTTTGTTTGCTATCCAAATTGTTCGTTAACTGATTATCAATTTACCATAGGTTTGTATGGGAATTTGATTAATTCATTCTGGAGACCCAAAAAATAAAAAATATATACTTTACTATTACATATAAATAAATGTAGTAAAAAAAAAATACATACAGTAGAATCTCGATTATCCGGACTAATTGGGGATGAAGGTAGTCCGGATAAGGAAAAATCCGGAAA